TGTTCGCTTTTCGCATTTACTTTTAGAGTTACGCAGTCGTTAATGTATTATTTTTCTTGAGAAATAAGTTACTTTTATACTATTAAATGATTCTATGATTTTATTCCTTTTAAAAAAAATACCTAACAGATAAATCAGAAAATTGGCAATAAAATTATTTGTAATAAAAAAATTAATAACACTAGTTTTCGTGAAATTAATTTCAAATCACTTTAATAAAATTTATCAGTGCGAACAAAACTGAATATTTTCGAGTTATAGTAATAACAAAGTAGGCGATATCAGTAAAATTTAGTTATACGTAAGTTTTGCAGTGACTACAGCGAGATGTTCCCGCGGGAGGCGCTGCCGGAGACGGCATCTGAAAATTGCCTGGAAAACTTAAATTGTTCATACAAACTCGTTTTAAAAAGATCGTAATGCTAGTAAAATGATTTACTTTTAGACTTTAATATTAATTAAAAGATTAATGCTCTATTTAAGGTATTAGACGTGATGTTTAAGCATATTACAAAACTGTTACGAAAGAATTTATATTCTCTGAATAAATGGAAAACAGAAATAACTGTAGCCTGGTAAAATAAAGTGTTTTATTTATTTCATCGGTAGAAATGTCAACATTCCAAATTGATTTCACACCAATTAAGTTTTCGTTATGTTTTATATACTTTTATGATTGGAAGGCTCTTTTATCATTAAGTGAAATTGTTGATTTTTCATTTCATTAAGTTATACTTTAAAAGTGTGCTTTTTGATTAAACTATCGCACACTGTCGTGCGATTGTCGATTGCGTCGCAGCCAATTTAACTGTTTAGTTGCACAACTAAAAATCGATTGGTGTGTGCTCATAGAAATCAAAGCAAGACTAAAATGTTGTGTGATAGTTTAGTCAAAGATGTTGGCACGCTCTGAGAGTTATAGCTCATTTTCCATTACAAATTGTATTTGTTATTATCTCAGTTTTTAAATAATTCCTACTCTAACTTCAGTATCTCATAACATAGGCGTGGTATACTATAAAGAGATAACATATATCTTATCCATGTACAATAAACAGAACATTTCAAATAAAAACTTTGTACAACAACAAAGTTTCTTTGCCAAATTGAATACGGCTGGCGCAAATTTACACTTCTCTGAGGTAACTGAGAACGTAGATCTTCACACTGGCCTCTTAAGTTGTTAAGAGAGATCGAAACTTCGTTAGAAAGTACCAACTCGTGGCTAACACAACTGTTTTCGTATATAACCCGGTCTTGTACTAAAGTGGCAAGGAAAGGAACTTGTAATTTATATACTAGTTAAGTTTTTAAAAATAATCTATGTATGCTATTATAATAAAGCGTAAACATACACTGCTTTGTTGCCTAAGATGTCAGCAATTACAGCATATTTATGAATATTTCTTTTTTTAATAAAAAGCCTTACACTTACGTCACGATTTAGGCTATATATTTTCAAGCCATTAAACTTAGGGGGTAATGATTTTGGATAAAAACCTTAACGTGGGAAAGAGACCATAAGTTGCTGCCAACATCAAGGAAGCAAGGCTGCCATGGTTTATCAGCGTCATGTCATTTTGACATTTGCAATTGAGAATTTGACAGATGTAAACAATTAAATAAAATTTCCATAATTTCATGCGCATGAAGCCACACGGGAACAGCTAGTATTAATATACCTACATAATCTACTAGAAGTAATATTTTATAGTATAATTATTACTGTACATTATAATAGTGATTATTATAATATCCCGTTGTGTAATATTTGCATATTTATGAGCTGCAATAGTGAACGCAATGAAAATGCAAATAATTTAGCAGCCGAATGCTTGGTGAGCTGTGGGATTCCTTCATACATATCTCCCTCTACAATACTAGCTCGATGATATTATTCATACCAATGTACTGTTATACTTAGTATTGTTTTCCAGTGGAGCGATAATCGAGGGTTTAGGGCCCTGTCCCACCACTGGCTGATAGAGGCTCAGATAGCTTAAAAATGACGTCACTGTCAAATAAGGGACAAAATCCGATATTTCCATCACATATTTTCTACGTCGAATTGTTATCGAACAATTTACAATTTGGTGGGGACTGGTCTAAGTATTAGAGATTTCCAATGGAGCGATATGGGAGAGTAATCTTTATATGTTTTAGAAGAATAATTTAAATGACGTTTAATGTAAATAATTTGTGTAGCTGCATTAACGTAAAGTCGCCTCCGTATACGACACCCAACAGCTCTCCGTGTGTCCACCTCGTAAATACGATTAACGTCTTAAAGTTTACCTCTACTCGACTTGCCACAAACTTTAAATTAAGCAATTTCATACTCTAACACCAACACGTGGGGTGGAAATTACATTGTTGTGGTTGTTTATACTAAAATTGCTTGAAATGTAAATAATTTACAAAATTTATAGTAAAATGTGTCAAAGGAACGTGCGGCCATCTGATACCGCAAATACCAATATCATTCGCTTTAAAAGACAGAAGAGAGAAGGAAAAAACTCCCCTATAAGTCCCCTCCCCCGCTAAATATTCTTTGCTTAAAATGACTTTCATGTAGTACAAGGTGACATTGACAGACCGATGGTAGCGGTCATCTGAGAATCGAATTATTAGGTTCATTGAACTATATGATTATTTGTTATCGAATATGCTAACGACGTTATTCTCTTGTTTCTTTAATTGGTTTCGTGCAATTGCATTAATTAATTATTTATTAATTAACCTTTTCATGAAACTTGAATAAAATTATATCTTGCATCACACGTCAAGATTATGTTACAGGGTTAACAGTGAAATTGATATATGTGTGCGAAAACGCAGCAGCAATTTATACTTTCTTGAATCTATACTTCTATACTAGTATATATCTATACTAATATTATAAAGAGGAAAGATTTCTAATTTGTTTGTATTGAAATAATTTAAAAACTAATCGACCGATTGAAAAAATTCCTTGGTCTCATTCACACCATTTTGAGTAACATAACTATTTACATTTTTTTTAATTTCACGTAAGCGAAGTCAAAACATCTCGTGTGTAATAAAAAAAGTTCAGATAGCATGCATTGTATTATCTCGATATGATACTAAAAGCGTTAGAAATATTAGCATAGGATTAGCATAGCATAGGATTTGGATTGCAGCGGAGTCAAGATAACAACCAATGTATTGTTACGCTGTCGCTTGTTATTTCTGTCACATTTATAGCAACACGTTGCGTTCACATTGTATTGTATTCTGTAGTTTTGTACATATTTTTAGAATGACCACCGAGCATTTGTAGTGCATAAATCCCACATAAACTTCCCCTTAGAGTTAGGACATAATAAGATCTCAAAGATATATTTAATAGAACAAAATTTGAAACTCTAGTATTTTGTATTAATAATGAACTTAAATAAGTTTCATTTCAATAAAGTTACAAGTAACTTCTTTAAAGTGTACATCAAATTATCTTTATGAAAGCAGAGCGTGAGATGACAATGGTATTGTGAATTATTCATGCCTTCACAACCCTTCGATTTCAATAGTAGATGTATACATATTCTTTTCACGTGGATTTCTAAGATTCTAGCAATAAAAACTAGAGAATTTTAGTTAAGAAATGTAACTAGTAATTTCTTGATGTTTTGAAATGTAAGATCGAAAACCCAAATATATTAAAATCAGAGAAGTATATGAAAATTCAAAGGATTTATATAACCGAGTCTTACGTGGAAATCTTCACAAAGAATTTATTCATAAAAGAAGCTTTGTGTGTATTCCTTTGTTTAATATTAAAACGGAGATTTATTGAACAAGATAGTTTCGAAATTAAAAATGTTTTGGGTGATATCTCCATGAAGCCCTTGGTTACATGTAACTGGGAAGGTATTGTAGATAAAAATCTTCAAGAATGTATCCTAATTAGATACTAACGAATTCCATAGTCTTATATTAATATTATTCTACTCTAATCTACCACTAGGTCCATACCTCGGGTTTACTCAAGCTCGTAGAATTAAATTTGTGAAAGATTTTTTTAATACGTTCATTATTTTTTTGAGTTAATACTTATCTAAGGGTGTATTCGTGGCTTTAATATAAGTAAGTATGAAGATGTTTATTAGGTGAGGAATTAGTATTCAGTTAGTAGAAGGTCCTATTAATATTTATAACCTTAATAAAGATCTGCCGGCCTCAGGTTTCTAAATAACGACCCCATATTAAAAACTAGATTGCTTACATTGTTACTGATAGGAAAACACTCTTTTGTTTTATTATTTCAGTGAAACATTTTTTAAATAAGAATACTGAAATTAGATTTAAATATGTAATAATAACTTAAATGATAAGGTCACGTTTAAACTACGAAATCCTTTAAAATGTTAACAAAATTTCAGGTAGCAAGACGCGCTTACAAAGTGAACGTTTCAGTGTTGTGCCGATTGATTTGCAGTGTTACTGCCTAGAGTTATATCACCAAAAACGGCGATATTTAAGTGTGTATGAATAGTTATTGATATCGCAAGTAGATATAGGTGTCACATTTAGGTTTAAAATTACAAAACCGACTTCCAAAGCCAACTAATTTTAATCCCTTTCCCTTGCCACCCGTTTCTTAAGAGGAAAGGACGGGAAGGGAAAGTGGATTTGACGGTGGTGGAGACGCATAGGAAGGGAAAATGTCCTTTTTATGTGCGTCTCCTCCTCTGTCAATTTAGGGTAGGCAACGCATCCGCAATTACGGATGTCTATGGGCAGCGGTCGCTTTCCATTTCGGTGGATTCAGGCCGCTTGCTCGTTTGCCACCTTTTATTATATAAAAAAACAACTGAAAACCTTTCCTTTCTATCCGTTGGGCAAAACCTTAAAATATAACGTTAATTAAGGTTCATTATCATTTTTCACTTAATTATTATTGTTTGTTATTTTTAATGATAACAACGATATATAAAGTATAAAAACGTGTGTATATATATTGAATTATCCAGTTTGTATTCAAAATTGGCAGTGAAATTAGTAAGGTATATGCACATTTTATTTTATTATTTTTGCGATGTTTGATTTGATGATGGCGAATTAAATTTTGTTTAATTTTTTTGCCAGGATGAAGACTGTTATAATAGCAATTCTGCTTTCTTCTATTATCAATGAGAGTGTGAGTCAAACCATTTTAGTTACTTGTATATTATGTAGAAATACTTAGCCTTTAGTTCCTTGCTCCGTATACCAATCGTTGTATTTTTTTATTCCAGTACGCCCAAGTCGCCGGTGCTGGTATGTATGTCATTTATTTTAAACTAGCTGTTCCCGAGCGGCTTTGTCCGCATAAAATTATAAAAAAACTTGTCAAATTATCAATTGCAAATGTCAAAATTACATGACATGATGACAAACTATGGCAATCTGGATTTTCCTTGATGTTAGCAGCAACTTATGGCCTCTTTCCCACATTAGGGTTTTTATCCAAAATATTTACCCCCTAAGTTAAAACATACAACCTAAAGCGTGATGTAAGTGTAGGGCTTTTTATTAATAAAAAAAAATTATTTAAAAATATGCTGTAATTGATGACATCTTAGGCAACAAAGAAGTATGTGTTTACTCTTTATTATAATAGTTTTAAGTAAATACTTTTTATGTTCAATTAATAACATAGTATTATTTTCTCGTAGTACTTGGACTCGTGAATAACACGGTACAAGGTAAGTAACTCATTTATTTTAATAATGTTTTTACGGATATTATAAAAGCTTTCGTAAAGTACAGATGGACGGACTTCCGTTAGTGTTGTTACCTAAACGGCTGAAAGTCCGTGAAATTTAGTAAAGATGCAGAGTTTAGTTAGCAAAAGCTAGTTAAAACAAATACTTAGCAATACTATTCATTAGAAATGTTACAAATGTTATAGTGTACTATTGTGGGTTCCATTGCGTCAGGGACAACAAGTTTCTAGGAAAGTATTTACACCGCTTGTATTAAACATTTCCCAGGTGCGGGGGACGTCGTCGATGCAGCAATTCCTCCAGGTAATTGTTATTATATGTTTTTATTATGAGGTAGTAAACAAGCTACCGTCCGCTAAAACAGGGGAACGACCATATAGGTTATAATTCACATTTGCAGATTGCATCGAGGAGACGCAAAGAGAATTTTTATTCCTTTCTATGCGTCATCTCCTTCGCTAAATTTACTTCTCCTTCCCATCTTTCTTATGATACAGGAAGAGAAAGAAATATAAGGCTGCAAATACTCGTCAGATAGAACGCGCAAGTTACACTTCTTGGTTCCCAAAAATGATAAAAAGGGGGCCACGTACAATCTTTTCTATCTTTAACATTTTCTTGTTTTCGTAGGAACTATTCCCGGTGTTAATGCTGGTGGTGAGTGTGTTTTCATTGTAATTTTATTCGTTCCGTTTACTTCAGTTGCTTATTGAGAAGCAATATAAATGTTAAACTTTATGATTTAACTCTGTAACAATTACTTCAGACTTATATCGGTGCTGTATATCAAACTTAAGAGCTCGCGCACACCTTTCTATAAACTATCGCACAACTGTTTAGTCGCACATTGATTTCTATGAGCTTATATGGAGGTGCGCACTACTCGATTTTTAGTTGTGCAACTAAACAGTTGAATTGGCTGCGAATCGATTGACAATCCCACAATTGCTGTGCTATATAGTCAAAGGTGTGCGCCCGCTTTAAATATACAGCTAGGTGAAAAAATGTAATTTTATTATACTTTTTTGCTTTCAGACACTGTTCGATCTCTTGGACAAATTCCCGGAACAGCGCCTTAGTATAAACTGAAGTGGTAAGGGATGGAAATGTTTTTGTATCTATCTGATAGCTTCGAAATAAACGTGTAAATGACAATAAACATCGATTAATTTAAAACGATAAAAATGTGTAGTCAAAAATAATTAATCGTTTAAATGTAAAAAGAATTACTTGGGTTTAGAGATTTTAAAATTAACAATGACTTCTTTTGTTACAGGTCCATGTGTTTTTAAGAAAGTCTATCGTCTTACTTTACTTATAAATAAACAAAACATATTTGACATTTTTGTTTTATGAAATAAAATTAATTGTTTTTTTTTACTTCCCAATAACTATTTAGTAGAATTCTGTTATTAAATGACTAATAAATTGTCAAAAAAGAGGCTCATAAATTCCCATAAACTTAAAAAAATATCAAGTAAAAGTCATTTTTATTTATAAATTAATGAATCCCACGGGAACCGTAACTATTCCCGGGTTAAAAAGTAGCCTATGTGTTCTTCCAGACTATGCTCTAAACCTGTGCCAAATTTCATGGAGATCCGTTCAGCCGTTTAGGTTACAAACGCTAACAAACATCCATCCATCCATCCATCCATCTAAACTTTCACATTTATAATATTAGTAAGATGAATAATTACCATTAATTAATGTGGATGTGACGGTGGAGGAGATGAATAGGAAGGGGCAATATCCTCTTTATGTGCGTCTCCTCCTCCATCGGATAAGGGTAGGTATCGCATCTGCGATCGCGGATGACTATGGGCGGTCGCTTCGCCATTTTGGTGGATTGTTTGTTATTAACGAATATAAATAAAACATCCATTAGCAACGAGTGATTAGAAACTTCAGAGTGAAACTGACCGTATTCCACTGAACTCTATAAATGGATAGGCGATTTGGATTGCTTTTGTTTCGTTCCCATTTAAATGCACTTGATGTATTGAGAATTTTTAGTTGGACTGTTCGTACTTTTGCTGAAAAGTATAAAACACTAATACCGCAATTTATAGCCTGTCCGTTTATAGAGATCAGTGGTGTATTCACATAGTTTATTAATTTTTTAACTCAAAATTAATGTAAATTGAACAATAGTATGTTATTAGCATTCGCATTCAAATGTAAATACTAAAACTTCTATAGAAGAGATATAGTTTCCATTCTCATGAAATGTTTATTGACGCGTTTCAGTATAATATTGTTTGCATTTCCATAGCTTTGTCAATACGATGTAATAGTAAAGTACATTTGTATCTGTTTAACGAGGGTAATGAAATTTAATAGAATAATGACAAAATTCAGATGCTCATACACATAATATTACAGAAATTAAACGCCTTTATGAACGCGCGCACCTTTGACTAAACTATCGCACAACTGTTTAGTTTCACTTTCGATTCCTATGACCTTATAATAATAATTATTATTATTTAACTTATGTAACAGAATATTACACATATGATATTTACATTGACAGAAGAATTACACATTACATTACACACATAAAGAAAAAGGAGAAACTAAAATTAAAACGATATAAGGGACCCGATGTCGGCTACGCGCATACATATGTGCGCACCGCCAGTGCCCCATGATAGGGCAGTCGGGCTTGTCACTAAGCCCTCTTATCATGCTGTTGGTACTCTTCCGAACTCTGCGTAAAAGAGAAGCCGTACGTTTGAATGCTTATATGGAGGTGCGCACACTATTCGATTTTGAGTTGTATAACTAACAGTTAAATTGACTCCGAAACAATCGACAATCGAAAACAACTGCACACCGAATCTGGAAGTAATTTGTTCTATTTAACTAATTTAGAATCTAAAGTAGTAAATTATGTGCAAAAATCTGTTTCTAACGTGGAAATAGGAAGGAATCAAACATAAAAAAATTAAATTAAATTGAGAATCAATTTCTGTTCAACGTAAAGGAATAAGAATTATGTTAAATTATAAAGGTTTTTGGTATTGTCTATTTGTAATTAAACCTTGTTTAAATCCGGATGATTTTTAAAACCTCACCGCACAATGTTCAGTGTCCGCTATAACAAGCTCTAACAGTTTGAGCCAAGCCACGTCCGCCGCAAATGGAACCGAATTATTTAACTGCGGACAATGCGAGCTCAGCTACGCTTTGAAATTTATACGATTTCTAACTCACCAGATTAAGTTAAACTCTGATATTCATTAAAATTAAATACATAGATGCTGCCGCCAGTTTTAACAACAATAATTTAAACGTATTTCTGGAATCTCAAGCTAAAATAAGGTCAAGAAATTTCCTCCATAGTCCTTCATAAGTTTCAATTTTATCATACTCAAATGTATATCTTATACGTAAGGTGGAAATCTACGCTTACAAATACAACCAACGTGTCTCGTCAACAACAGGACAAGTAGAATAAGCTGTAATACAAGTTCTATAAATCAGTTTAACAAAGAGATTCAAATAATAAATAGAGTAGGCGTAGTTAACACTTGAGATATTCACATGATCCACTAACGCCATCTATAAGTCATTAATTGTTTAAATGAATTGCCAATAGGTGTCACTATATTATTTATAATGTTTGTGTTTTATTTTGTGACACTTTTAGTTTTTTAAGATCTTTATTTAAGTATGTAAAATGTTGCATAATATGCCATTAAAAGGACATGAGGTGGTACTAAGCTTAACTAACATAGTACCTCTCAAAGAAGTTACCAGTGACAAAATGTTTTCATGTCTAGTCTCTATATTTCTTAATGTCTGAGTTTATACGATGCTGTGTGTTGTGAATATTCATGTCTTTATCTACATGTCGGTGTGCGACGCGGAGATGCACATTATTCACAGCTCGTGATTAAGTCGTGTAACCAATGCATCGCTTTGTTTGATCTGTATAGTGCTAGGATATTGTGTTATAACACTATGATATTACGATTGCTATACGGATTAAAGCGAATGAAACGATATGTAAAGTTTCAGGGGTTGGAAACCGAAGAAACCGAGTGTTTGGTATACCACGTGTATAACTAAAATAAAGCGATGTTGTATATAGTAAATTTATTAAAATGTTGGTTATAGAATGTTATGAAATTTTGTAATAATACGTTTATATCAAAGAGTAATATAAAAATCTCATAATATTTTTACTAAGAAATATTAAAATATGAAAACCCAACAATATTATTAAACCCAACCTTTGGCACGAGGTCGCTTCAATCTTAAATAATAAAATACCTTTTGCTGGAATTAATTAAGGCTAGATTGTTGTACAAAATTCAGGACAGACCGCTTGCTGATATTTCGTAAAGAGATTACGGGTCGACAGTACTTGAGGCAGGCTGACTTATACCTTGGTTATTAGTAAACGTAGGAACAGCATTCAATATTCTGAGGTACGCAACGGTCCACAATAACGACGGGCAGTTGCTCTATTGTTACACATGAGAGCCTTTCCACATTTAATTCGTTATTTCTTCCTATGCAATTTTCAGAACTAACGCAAACGGCTAAGGAATCGATATCAAATTAGGTTATTTGTTAATTTACATCCTATTCAATTTAAGATTGTAATATGAATCTAAAATCTTGTCTATTCGAAGTCGTTTTACTCTTGCATACTTTCCTATACAAAATATTTAAAACAAACTTTCTAATTTTCTCCTCGATCTTAAAGATTTACTACAGGAATGACAGTATGCTTTTTAAACAAAAAACCCAAGAGCATAAAAGATTTACATTACATTCACTTGAGTTAGAATCTTAAGACAAAGACAAATTGCAGTTTAAACCAATATAAATGTTTTTAAAGTGTACTCTAACGTTGGATACTTAGAGACAGCCTTTGTGAAGTAAAACGGAAAACACTTAGACTGGCTGCTCGCTCCATTAACCTCACTGGAACTAGCTATCGGAGACCTCCCTCCCCGGAGTCCCCGCCCGCAGAAGAATTCTATTGACTTGTAATGTCTGCATTTAAGAAGCGAAATAATAAACGATAAAAAATCCTTATTGTTAGATATTGAAGTAACTTAAATCATGTTCTTAAACAGTTATGGTTAAGACGTTAGTGGCGATTGAAATGACAAAATAAGGAGTACGTAAACATTTGCGCCTACCCCATATACAAATAAGGATTGAAGAACCATGATTATTCTTTAAACAGATTGATTCCTTTTTAATAAATAAAATAAATCGTTTAAAGTTATAAGGCAATACAATATTGAGCGCGTACGAGTTGAAATTTCAATTCCAGCTCTTAGCCCCTTACGACCAATAAAACTGATAGAACGCTATAAAACTGAAGGAGACCCACGTGAGGGACATAAACGATGCCCCTATAGCATGTACACTAATGTACAAACTTTATGATCGCTCGCTATAAATGCGAGACACTGCACAGAACACAACTTTAAGTATTGACATCATGTAATGCTATGCGGGACACAAACAGGTCCCAAGAGTGCAGATTTGTTCTTGCTAACCACGAGCACGCATAATATTTGAATCGTGTAATACTTCTTGTTTGTTATTATTCTAGGGATTTAAGTTATAAACGCGATAGTCGGATAAGAATTTATCCAGCCATTTCTTTTATAGTTTGTAAATCAACACCCATTTGAAAGAATTTTATATTGACTTCGAAAACAATTTACTTACCTAATTATTAGGCTAACTAAGGGCTTATAAAAGTTTATTTTTTTTTATAACATAAGATGGCAAACGAGCAAGCGGCCACCTGAATCCGCCAAAATGGCGAAGCTACCACTGCCCATAGACATCTGCAATTGCAGATGCGTCGCCTACCCTTATCCGACGGAGGAGGAGACGCACATAAAGAGGATATTTCCTCTTCCTATGCATCTCCTCCACCGTCTAATCCACTTTCCCTTCCCATCCTCCCATAAGAAAAGGGTGGTAAAGAGAAAGGGACCTAAATTAGGCCTCCGGCACCACACTCATCAGACGAAACACGGCATTGGTTTCATTTCACGCCCGTATTCTGTGTGGTCGTGGTATTACACCGGGCGTGCCGGCCCATTCGTGCTAAGATGTTAAAGCGGGCACTACCACTGTTTATTAAACTAAATAATACAAGTTAATATTATTTTTATTTATCTGTATTAGAGGTCAGTAAATATCGTTAATTTTAAAATGTGTACAAGTTGGCAAAGTATATCATAAATACGGCTGCTTTAATGAAAATAAGCGAAAACAATATGAAAACCCAAAACAATGAATGTTATGTTTTATTCCATCCTGTAACCATTCCCTTTTGTTAAA